TTTTTTTTTTTTTTTTTTATAGCGACTTCAGGAAGAAATCACCAAACAGTCTCCGACATTGCAAAGAAATGCTTTATACATCAAATCTGTAAGTTGTGCATTCCTTTTGAAATTGAATCCATTTTGATGAAACGTTTCCAGTTAATTAATGTTACCCAGTCTTTGTACCAAACCAAGGAATTAAAAACTTGTGTGTTATTTGCATGTGATAGGATTTCTTTATTTTTTCTCCTCAGTCTAAGATCAGCCGACTACCTGCTTACTTGACTATTCAGATGGTTCGATTTTTTTATAAAGAGAAGGAATCTGTGAATGCTAAAGTTCTTAAGGTTAGTAATGAGCTTCAGTATAATAAAATATTGTAATTCTTTGATAGAAATCCCTGACTTAAAGGTTTCTTTATTCCTTTAGGGATAAACTTCAAAATACTGTAAGGGAAGTTATTAACATTAGATAAGTGGTTCTTAATTAACCAAGACTGTGTATTGGAATTCTCTATTGTCCTTTTTCTTTTTTCTTTTTTATTTTTTATTTAAAAAAAATTTTTTTTTTCAACGTTTATTTATTTTTGGGACAGAGAGAGACGGAGCATGAACGGGGGAGGGGCAGAGAGAGAGGGAGACACAGAATCGGAAACACGCTCCAAGCTCTGAGCCATCAGCCCAGAGCCTGACGCGGGGCTCGAACTCACGGAGCGCGAGATCGTGACCTGGCTGAAGTCGGACGCTTAACCGACTGCGCCACCCAGGCGCCCCCCTATTGTCCTTTTTCTTAAAGAAATTTTTTTTGTGTGTTTATTTATATTTTTGAGGGAGAGAGAGACAGCGTGAGTGTGGAAGGGGCAGAAAGAGAGGGAGACACAGAATTGAAGCAGGCTCCAGGCTCCGAGTTGTCAGCACGGAGCCCGACACGGGGCTTGAACCCGTGAACCTCGAGATCATGACCTGAGCCGAAGTTAGACACTCAACCGACTGAGCCACCCAAGCGCCCCTATCCTTTTTCTTTTAAATCATTCATACACATGCCTGATTTTTACCACCAGCACCCACAGCATTTGATTAAGTAGTCCCTGAGGTCTTACAATTTTTTGAAAGATTCCCAGTTAATTCTGATGGTTGCCCTTCACTCTCCCAGAAACACTGCTCTAGAGCAGATCCTCAACTCCATAGATACTGACCCAGCGGTATTATAACACACTACACTCTCTAGTGCAGTAATTATAATCTCTTCAGTAAGAGCCAGCCTTAAGAACTGTTTTATGGAACTGTAGCTCTGCTACATATCCACAGTCCTTGATCCTTGGGAGACAGCTGAAATTCTTAATACAATTTTAGATATACTTAGTGTTACACGATAGGGTCAAATGTAGTTGGAAGTATTTACTAGTGTTAACTATAAATATGTATTAATATTTAGTTATTAAACTGTACCACTTATTTCTGTGTAAAGGAATATTTCAAGTTACAAAGAGTCATTAAGTGACCCCATTTGTAAATTGATTTCCATTGTCCATTAGAAGTGTCAATTATTTTCACAGCAACTGATCTATTTTTTTTTTTTTTTTAAGTTTATTTTGAGAGAGCCAAGAGCACGCACAAGCAGGGGAGGGGCAGAGAGAGAGAGAGGGAGAAACACAATCAAAGTGGGCTCCAGGCTCTGAGCTGTCAGCGTAGAACCTGATGTAGGGCTCAAATCCACAAATCGTGAGATTATAACCTGATACGAAGTTGGACGCTTAACTGACTGAGCCGTCCAGGTGCCCCTGATCTAAGGTTTTTGAAATGCTTCTTTTGTCATGTAAATTTTGGTAACTCCTCTGTGGTTAATGTTATGGGTTAGAATATTGGGGGGAAAAAAGTAAAAATTTTTTTTTTACCTTAAAAAGTTAGGACCCAGGTGCCTGGCTGGCTTAGTTGGTAGAGCATGTGACTCTTGATTTTAGCGTCCTGCATTCAAGCCCCAAGTTAGGCATGGAGCCTTTTAAAAAGGAAAATTAGGACCAGATTGAAAATAAGCACTGTGATGTTTTCAGCTGCGTAGGTTTGCAAGTGATTTTTATAAATTTTATTTTCAACTTCTTTTGATTATGAAAGTACTACTATAAAAGTGTTATAGATATTTTTAATAACTACCTTTATAAGTGTGTTTACACATTTTTTTTCTTGGTTTGTATATAGGATGTTAAATTTCCTCTTATGTTGGACGTGTACGAACTATGTACACCAGAACTTCAGGAGAAAATGGTCTCTTTTCGATCAAAATTCAAGGATCTAGAAGATAAAAAAGTGAATCAGCAGCCAAAGACAGTAGGTTCTTATTGCTGATTTTCTCATTTTGATATTTTAATCTTTAATCTGTTCAACAATTACTTTGTTATCGTTAATCTCTTAGTAGAAATGGATGAACTTCTATTTTCTCTATTCACAAAAGTTTTGGGTATATTTTAGTGTAAGAAAAAGAACTCTAGTTATGGTGTATGGGCCCTTTATGGTAGAATAAGCCCTAATATTTTTTCCCTGTTAATATGTAGCTTAAGCTTAAAGTTCTTTTATCACCTCAAAGTACTTTACATAAAATCTTGCCTAGTGTTTTTAGTGTATTTTATTGTTTTCCTTGTAAGTCATGGAATTGTCTCTATTTTAAGATGGAATTCATGTTGTAGAGTATTGGCTCATTTATGCCTACTGTGACAACTAAGTTGTATCTTTTAGATGCTGCTGGTGTGCCTGCCTTTAACTGCTAAAATCACAATCTTAGGAGACTTTGTATTTAATAAGTTGTATTATTTTAGGTTCAGATAAGGTACAGCTGAACTGTGTGTTGGATTTTTTTTTTTTTTTCATTATGAAAAACATCTTTCCTGGTAACGAGATATTTCTAGTGTGATATTGTATATCAAGTTTAAAATTAAATTCTTCTACAAATTACTACTGTATGTGTATTAAATGCTTTTATTTTTAAACATTAAGCTTTATTTTGAGATAATTGTAGAATCACATGCAGTTAAAAGAAGTAATACGAAGAGATCCAAATACCTTTTACCAAGTTTCCCCTGTGGTAACATCTTTCAAAATGATAATACAGTATCATAACCTGGAAATTGACATTAATATAGTCTAGATGCAGTACATTTTCATCAGCCAAAGTTTCTGCATACTTGCTCCCTTGTGGCCAAACCCACTTTCCCTTGGCCCCTACCTCCTCAATTCCTGGCAACTGTTGACTTTTCTCCATTCCTGTAATTTTGTCATTTCAAGATCATTATATAAATGGAATCATGTAGTATGTAACCTTTGAGATTTTCTTTTCTCAGCATAATTCTTTGGAAATTAGTCCAGGTCATTTTGAAGAGTTGCTGAAGAGTATTCCATGGTATGCGTATACCACAGTTTAACTATTGATAGCTGGGTTGTTTATTGTGAATAAAGCTACCATAAGCATTCCTGTACCAGTTTCAGTTTGAAGATAAATTTTCATTTCTCTAGGAATAATTACCCAGGAGCACAGTTGCTGGATTGCATGATAGTTGTACATTTTGTTTTTTAAGAAACTCAAATGTTTTCCCTAGAGGCTGTACCATTTTAGATGCCTATCAATAGCATATGACTGATCCACTTTCTGCAGTCTTGGCCAGAATTTGGTGGTGTCACTATTCTTTATTTTAGCCATTTGTATAGGTTTGCAGCAATACCTCAGTGTGGCTTTTAATTTGCATTTTCCTAAGGGCTGATATTGACTGTGTCTTCATGTATTTATTTGCTATCTGTATTTCCTCTTTGGTGAAATGTCTTTTCATGTCTTCTCATTTTCTAATTGTGCTATTTTTTACTCTTGAATTTTGAGAGTTCTTTATGTATAGGTGTGTGTGTGTATAAAAAAATTTTTTTTTAACATTTATTTTTGAGAGAGGGAGAGACAGTAAGTGGGGGAGGGGCAGAGAGGGGGGGACACAAAATCCAAAGCAGGCTCCAGGCTCTGAGCTGTCAGCACAGAGCCCAACGCAGGGCTCAGAAATCACAAGATCATGACCTGAAGTCAGATGCTCAACTCAGCCACCCAGGTGCCCTGTATATATGGTTTTTAATGTTTACTTATTTATTTTGAGAGAGGGAGCACAAGCAGAGGAGAGGCAGACGGAGAGAGGGGGGAGTGAGAATCCCAAACAGGCTCTGCGCTGTCAGTCCAGAGCCTAATTTGGGGCTCGATCTCATGAACCATGAGATCATGACCTGAGACAAAATCAAGAGTCAGATGCTTAGCTGACTGAACCACCCAGACGCTCTGGGAGTTCTTTATATTATAGATATGAATCGTTTGTCAGATACATGGCTTCCAAAATTTTCTCCCTCTCTTTAGCTATGATATACATTCCATGGGTACTTGAAAAACAATTTGTATTCTGTTGTTGTTGAATGGAATGTGTTCTTTGGATGTTCATTAGATTCAGTTGGTTGATGGTGATGTTGCTCTATCAATTGTTGAGAGTGAGGAAGCTAAAATTGTGGTTTTATGTGTTTCTCCATTCAGTTCTGTCAGCTTTTGATGTGCAGGTTTTGTAGATCTGTTATTTGGTGCCTGCACCTTTAGGATTGCTAAGTATTCTTGGTGGAGTGACCCCTTTATATTATGCACTGTCACTTTCTGCCCCTGGTAATTTTCTTTGCTCTGAAGTCTACTTTATCTGACAGTACTATTGCCACCGTTGCTTTGTTTTTGTTAATGTTTGCATGATATCTTTTCTTTTACTTTAAATTTGCCTATATAGTTATATTTGAGGAGTTTCTTGTAGACACCATAGAGTTAGTTGGGTCATGTTTTTTTAAGACACTCTGTTAATCTCTTCTTATTGGTATATTTAGACCATTTACATTAAAACATTTTTTTAAAGTTTATTTTTGAGAGAGAGCACAAGCACAGGGGAGGGGCAGAGAGAGAGAGGGAGACAGAGGATCTGAGCAGGCTCTGTTGTCATGCAGAGCCTAATGCAGGACTCGAACTCACTAACTGTGAGTTCTGACCTGAGCCAAAGTCTGACGCTTAACCGACTGAGCCACCCAGCCACCTCTAGACCATTTACATTTAATATAATTATTGATTTCTTAAATCTGTTATATTTTGCTTTCTCTTTGTTCTGTTTTTCATTTCCCTTTATTGCCTTGTGGTTACTTGAACATATGATAGATTTCTAATTTAGCTATAACTTAAAAAATGATTTTCTTTCTATAGCTTTTCCTATGGTTACTCTCAGTATTAAATTTTAATTATATTAAAAGGAATGGTTGACCTAATTGCCACTTTTTTGTTGTAGGATCCTTTGACTTCTTGTTGTTCCACCTATCTTTAAACTGCTTGCATTGTGTTCATTAGCATTACAGTTTTCAAGAAATGTGTGTCCATATGCCTAGATAAATTTAATTTTTGTATTACACACTGAAATGGGCTGAGGCAGGGAGAGTTCCCACTACAAACCTTTGTCTAAAGTAGTAAATCCTGTGTTTCGATATTAGGTAAATATTTGCTGAATTAAAGAGCTTATTAGTTCATTTAAACTAAGATTCAGTTCATTTGAGCAGGTGATCATGTCTTAGTAGCTTTAATGTTGCAGCAATTTGACTTTCCTGTTTTATTGATATAACCGTTTTTTTTTTTATCCTATGTGGTTTGATAGTATTTTGATTAAAATATAGACTTGGGTTTTCCTTCTGTGTTCTAGAACAGTTTATCTGTACTGCTCTATTCACTGCTGTGCTCTAGGTTTAGTGGCTTATAGTTGGTCAGAGGGTCTGTTACTATACATACAAGATTGTATTGTTGGAGTGTAGATTCTTTGGGTTTACAGTTTTATGTTAACTATAGTTATATCGTTTTAGTAAATTGTAAGGTAGACTACATTTTGTCTTTGTTTTGTATTGTAGTCAGTAAATATTTGTGGAAATGAATACTTATTGGAGAATATAAATTTTATTTCCAATATCATGATTTAAAGTTAAATTTTTTTCTCCTCAGAGTGACAAAAAGAGTAGTCCCCAGAAAGAAGTTAAATATGAACCTTTTTCTTTTGCTGATGGTAAGTGGAAAAAATAACTTCAGTTGAGTTACTACTATGTTGTGTGTGTGTGTGTGTGTGTGTGTGTGTGTGTGTGTGTGTGTGTGTGTTGAAGGTAAAATTATTGTATTGGCATTTAGGAATTTTTTCAGATAGCATGCTTTAAAAAGAGTCAGATTTCTTAAAATATAATGTGCCTTAGACACAGTAAAAATCAGTCTTTTGGCATTAGTTCTGTGAATACTACCATACTTCATAAAATGTCTTTCATAAATCCTTAATTTTGAACAGTAGTGTCTTACTGAATTCTAATAATAGAGTAGTACTTCTCTAGACTAACCATCAGACTTCTTGCTTGCTTACCTAGCTTGAGAAAGCACCTATTCATTGTCTAATGTTGGATTTATGTTTTTTTAGATATTGGCTCCAATAATTGTGGATACTATGATTTGCAAGCAGTGTTAACACATCAGGGAAGGTCTAGCTCTTCAGGCCATTATGTATCATGGGTAAAAAGGAAACAAGGTAAGGATTGTTGTTGTTTTTTTGTTTTCCCAGTTAATTATGTTAACAGTTTAGTACAAATTTTGTAACCCAGTGGTTTTTAAACTTTTTGGTTTTAGAACCCTTTTACATTCTTAATTTTTGAGGTCCACAAAGAGCTTTTGCTTTTAAGGATTCTCCTAATATTTACTGAGAAATTAATTCAGTGAAAACTGACAGTAATAAAATAAAAAAACATATCACACAAATAACCTAAAAATAAATGTTTTCCAAAACAAAAAATAGCAAGAGAAATAGTACTGATTTGATTTTGTAGGTCTGTTTTGTCTGGCTTGATAGGAGACAGCTGGATCCTCTTAACTGTTTCTGCATTTTGTCTGTTGCTTTATCACACATCTTCTGTGACTTCTGGAAAATTCCAAAGCACACTTGAGAGAATGAGGGCAAAACGGCAACTAATGCTTTAATAGTGTTACGACAATAATTGTGACTTTTATGGTATCGCTGAAAATGAACCAGAGTAGTCCCTGGACTACACTTGGAAAACTGTTAGTATGATAGATGGAATACTACTTAGCCTAAAATTACTCAGTACTTTTTTTTGAAATGAAACTGAGAAAATCCTCTAGGATATTAATTTCATTTTCTTCTCTTGTTCCTCAGATGAGTGGATTAAGTTTGATGATGATAAGGTCAGCATCGTGACACCAGAGGATATCTTGCGGCTTTCTGGTGGTGGAGACTGGCATATAGCATATGTATTACTGTATGGGCCTCGCAGAGTTGAAATAATGGAAGAGGAAAGTGAACAGTAATTTTAGCTATTTATGTTTAGGTGTGAAATAAATGTTATTTGTTGATCATTTCAATAATCCAGAGCTTTAGCAGAAGCTATTTAGGTGGTTTTATGTGTATCCCCTCGTGTGGAACAAAAGAGGGTGGAAGCAGACCACTCTGTGGATCAACCTAAAAAAAATTACAGAATAAAGAAAATTGCCTTTGGACTGTGCTCCCCTGTATAAAGGTTGCAGGAAGATATTTTTTAAAAGCTTATTTCTTGCATTAATTTTTAAAAATTCTCATCTGAAAATGCCTTTCAACCATTACCTTCTGTGATAAATTTTTCTCCCTTTTTCAGCCCAGGATTCAGCAATCAGATGTTTATTGCACACCTATTACTCTTTGTTGTTGTTCTTGCATGGTTCAAACCACCGGTGATTCATAGCTGCCCATCCTTTGCCTTATCTAACAAAAATTTTACCAGGAAGGTAGAAAGGAAGTAAGTGTTTTTCTCATTGTGTTACTCAGTGCTGCTGCCCACATCCCATGGAAACATGGGTACAATCAAGTATTTGTCCAGCCTGACTGTTGCTGGCTTTTCATGACTTTAAAATAAATTGTGATCAGTTATAGTACATTTGATTATACATTTATTACTGTGTCTCTCTGTACTATGGTTTGTATATTTAACTTTGCAATGGTTTTGTAGTCATCAACCTTTAAAAAAAAAAGTTGACAAGCTCTGGTTGCTTATTTTTAGAAAATGAGGATATTTAATAAAAAAAAAAAAAAAAAAGGAGGGACTAACAGCTTCTGACCTCAAGTCTTTTGTCTACTGAGTGTTGGAGCTTGGGTTGAGTTTAGGTAATATGTAATACTATACAGTTTCTGCAGATGGTTAGTCTTATTCTGCTGTTAAGCATCCATTTAAAAAATGTTATCTTTTTTTTGCCTCCTCACATTATATTGTTTAAAAGAAATATAAAGTTGTAAAAGTAATGGAGTTCTTTGGATGCTGACTGCAATGACGTTTATTGCTCTTTTCCTTGGCCCAATTGTTTTTACTTTCATCTGTTCCCAAAATCTCCATGTCTATCTCAGAATTTAATAGTGACTTTTAAAGTGATGGTAAAAGTACCAAGAATATGTGGTGTTTCAGTATGGTAGGTTTCTTACGTTTTAACACATTCTAATTAGTTCCTCATCTTTAAGAGCCTTGATTGATTGCTAGACAAAGATAGAAAATTAGCTAATTTGTCTCTGATTTTGAGTTAGGTATGTAAAATGAAGTTTGGGGGATTATCATGAAATGTCCGATCTTAGGTTGTTTTAATGCTCTGCAGAGCACAGCACCGATAACTACTAGTTTCCTAGAGAATAATGGCCATTTTCCTCTAAACTTTGAACAATATGATAAAATCAGAGACGGGATAAAATAAGCGTTTCAGGGAAACTTACTTGTAAATAGCTTCTTCAGCTAAATGGTAACTATTGGCAGTCATTATTCCCTTTGCCTTGGAAGAGGGTACAGACTAGAATGGGGAGGAGGAGACCATATACCATAAGAATGGTAAGGATTCCTAGATATTGCCATGAGGCTTGTGACTGCAGTTTTTATTCTGTCTTGGTCTGAACAATTTTGAGGACCTAAATTTAGCAATTAGAATTCACATTTCTGATTTGCAGGATGCTGTAGCTACTGGAACAGGTGAGGTAGGTTTAGAACAAAGTAGGTCTTGTATGGAGTTAGAATTTTCAAATTGTAATTCCTTAATTGTTATAAAATTGATTTCATCTTACTTGATCCAAATAAGCATTATTCCAAAGATTTTTTTAAGTATAAGAAATTGGGACTTATATCAGTGTTTTAAATAAGGCTATTTTAGAGTTCAGCCTTGCATATAAGGTTTTTGAGAAGGGAGAGTAGACCAGAAAATGTCTTGATTCTGGAGTGTGCCTTGTATGCTGTGCCATGAGCACTGAGGCCCTTTTGATAGTACAGCTGTGCTGTATCACTGTCGGGACTAGCTAGGGACGTTAAGCCCAAGCAAGAACATTTATGGTGTAATAAGCACTTAGTAGCCTTTCAGGATTCAAAACAAATGAACAGTGATGACCTAATACTTACGTGGGAAATAGATGGTAGTAACTATCTTTCTGGTTGCTAGTAACTAATTGATAGTAGTAACTCCAGCCATTACTACATAGTGCTTTGCTGTTTATAGATTGCATTCACATAATACATCTCAAACTTCACAATAGTCCCTGAAGTATAAATCTCTATTTTAAGGACTTAAAGAGGTTAAATAATTTTTGTAAAGCTAAAAAGACTAGGTTTTAGACTTTGCCAACCTCCAACTTTAAAAGAAATAAGGTAAACATTTTCTGTAATGGGTAGGGTGGATGGTAAATTATTTTAGGTTTTGCAGCCCATAATCTTTGTTGTGGCTACTTAACTGTGTTGTAGCATGAAAGGAGCCATAGGTCATACTTAAAGGAATCGGCATCTGTGCTGATGGAATTTTACTTGTAAAAACAGGTGGAAAATGGACCATTGTTTGCTGATCCTCTGCTTTAAAGCACAAATGAATGAGAATAGAGCAGTCATATGGTTTCACAAAGTCATTCTGGGATTTTCAGAACAGCACATTAAATTTTGTAACTACTAATGGCATGCAGGAATCTAATCTGGCATATATTTTAGGAAACACCATGCTCCCTAAATATTGCTTACTGACTTCATTATAAATATTTAACAAAGATACTTGACCTTGAGGTCACTTTATTTTGGCCATTTCCCAACCTACTCCCTTCTGAAACCCTGAGGTCAGTCATCAAGAGCCAATGTGTTCTTTTGTTCTTGGAGCACCAGCCAACTGTACAACAACTGTTATAAAAATGTTTATTGTTTACCAAAACCATTGGACCTCTTATCAAATGCTGCTTGGTAACAAAATCTTATCACAGTTTTAATAAAAAAAAAAAAAAAAAATGAAGGAAAAAGAAGCTAACTATTTGTCTCATTGTCATTAGTTAGACTTTCTGCAAGGTCACTTAATCCGGACTTGTTCAGTGCATTCATCAGATTCTCAGGCGTTGCATGTACTCCCTCTTGATCTTGCCAGGCGACTAGTAGCTGCTTAGCTCTCATCTTCATATCTTCGCTGTCACACTCAATCTGTCTAATTTCGGAGTCTTTCATTTCCAAGTAGGGAGCCAGGATCTTCCATTGTTCGCCCAGCTTGTTGGCAAATACTTCTATTTGTTCCCCTGTCACAGGTTTGTCTCGCCGGACATCAGGGCCTAGAAAACACACAAAATGTAAATTATGTACAAAGTATGAGGACATGTACAATTCAAAGTACAACAGAACTGGGAAGTTACGGGGCCACTGAAATATTAATCACCTTTCATTAAGCTTTGTTTTAAAAGTAAAACAATTCCTTTCTATATTTTCTGTGGGTTGAATATTGTTCTTACAGTCATGATCACTAGGAAATCAGTATTTCTTTTATTTTTTTAAATTTTAGAGAGTGAAGGACAGAAAAAGCACAAGGAGGGGAGAGGGGCAGAGAGCATCTCAAGCAGGCTCCATGCTCAACGTGGAGCCTGACACAGGGCTCGATCGCACGACCCTAGGGTCATGACCTGAGCCTAATTCAAGAGTCAGATGCTGAAGCCACTGAGCCACCCAGGCGCCCCTCAATACTTCTTTTAAAGCTAAAGCTGTTGCCTCTAGTGTAATTATGAAGGCCTCCCCTAAAACCAGGTGCTCCCTTCTAACCACCCCAATCCCTGTCAAAATTAACAAGTATGGGTCGCCTTCAAATGTAAGTACCTTCCTTCCCGTCACTTCCACATTTTTATTGCATAAAATGTAATATTTGAATTACAAGTTGTCAAACAATGTTTAAAATTCCTCACTATAAGAAACAGCTGAGATAAGTGGTAGAAGTTGAGAAGTAGATCAAATAACGTACCTCTCAACAAAGAACCCCAATCTTTTCCAATTTTGTAAAATAGCCAAGAAAATTCAATTCTTACTTTCATTTTCCTTCAGTAAAGCATCATTATCTTCCTCATCTTCATCCTCACCTGTTTTTATTTCTTCAGAAGGAGGCTAAAATGAGGAAGAAGAATGTTTCAAAGAATGCTGACTTGTAAAATACCTGGGGATACTTTCAGGTTAGACAGGAATGGTTGAGTTTCCAAATAGAGGACCCAGAACTTTATCCTTGAGCATATTAAATGGGAATGGCAGGTGAGGCTCACAAATGGGATGGTGTTAACTTGGAGTGGACGGTAAGATCTGAGAATGAGAAAGACTCCCCCTGCCCCCAACCTGGGAAGAAGGAAGCCAATAAAAAGTATAATGATTTGCAAATATCTTAGTACAGTAACAGTGGGCTGGGGAAAACCAGGGGAGCAACCATGTTCTTAAAAATTTTTTGAGTTCTAGTAATACGAGAAACTTGTATTAGAAAAGAGAACAGAGTAGAAAGGCCAAGATGCCTACTGCTACCCTCAGATCCTGTTTGATAAAAGTGTATTGGCAAACAGGAAAAATTTCATGTCTGAGTTTACAGGTGGAATGATAGTTTAAGCAAAGTATTATGGACTTTAATAAATTTTTTATACAGCATGTAATTTAGGATACTTTATCAATTTATGTTCTTCCTATAAATATATACTCATATTTTTCCTTATTCTAAAAATGAGGGTTTGTAGATCATTATTTTTTCCCACAAGATAAGCTGTATATTCAGCTTCTTTGCTCAAATCGTGATAATCATTTTAGGTAACATCACCTAAAGAATATGAAAAAATTCATCTGTATTACTTACTGGTAATTCCTTTGCTAGCTTTATTACCATGTTTTCAAGATATTCTGGCAAACTTTTAAACTGCTGGTTGGTTGGCTGGAAGAAGTGAGGGCTTCTCCGTGCTAGTAGTCTCAGGGCTCTCCAACCATAATTTGAATTGTTCACAGCCCTATGAAAAGAGATGTCCATCTTATAATTTATGTTTTTTTATTTCTATATGCCTTCTAATTAATATAACTTACCATGTGAAATTCTATACTCTAAATAGTTGAAGGCACCATTCTTTTCATTTGGATCTTATTCCTAAGGACCTTCTCAGTATGCAGTTCATTTATAATACTAGAAACCAGCAGAATCCGATGAGACAGGTTCATATGCAGCAAACACATTTGAAAAGTTTATACACATTTTACTTAAGATTAAGTCAATTTGTATAGTAATAACTAGATGTTCTATGTGCCGGACAGTAATCATCTACCTATTTAGGAAAAAAAATTCACAATAAGGTTTACTATGTTCAGTAAATTGATGTCCATACTGTCAATGCCACCTACAGGTGTGAATTTCAGAATATTTTATTAATTCAACGGCTGAGTTTTGACCACATAAACTTAATCCAATGTTATTTTCCATTTATATAACATCTGAGTTTTAGTTTGCTTAATACCAAACCCAGTGAAGAAAAATGGCTCCAAAACTAAAAGGGAAACCTTGAACAGCCAACACAATAAGCAATGATGCAAGAAGAGAATCCATGAA